GATAAATGGTTGTGCATATATATATATATATATATATATATATATATATATATCGACACATACACATACATCTATGCGTGTGCGTGTCTCAGTACGCGCATGTGTTCTGAAGATGGCTGAATTGGGGTGGCTACATTACCTTGATTAGGGCCTCCAGTTTCCATATCTACAAAAGATAATGAGCAATCTTGTCCATAAATATAACGAATTTACACACACACACACACACACACACACACACATATATATATATATATATATATATATATATGAAAATTTCTCCGATTTAATCGGTAGAGAAGACAATATTTATGAATAAAAATGACAATAGGAAAACTGGTAATTGCTGACGCGTTTCGTCCAATGTGGACTTTATCAAAGCAAAATACGAAAATGAAATTAATTATACAATAGTCATACATAGAAATAAATACAACCATAATTTTGATTTTAAAAATGCTACACTCATAAAAAAAGAAAATAACTCACTCAGAAGGAAAATTCTGGAGAGTGCCGCCATAGAAAATTATCCAAATATTAATTTACGCCCAGGCTTTTTCCCCTATTTCACCTTTCTTAACAAAAATTAATGCTCTTACAAACAAATATGCACAACAGATTCATAAAATCGAAAGAAAAATGGTTAAATACATCAACACAGATATAATGACAATATTCTCCACACGTGACAATCTCTGACGTTATTTTTCATTTAAAAAATATGAAAATAGCGTTTCTCTACATTCCAGTTGCTAGGTACATTCTGTTTTTTTTTTATTAGTTACGTTGTTCATTTAATTTCATTTTCGTATTTTGCTTTGATAAAGTCCACATTGGACGAAATGCGTCAGCAATTACCAGTTTTCCTATTGTCATTTTTATTCATAAATATATATATATATATATATATAAATATATATATATATATAGTACTGTTTCGCTGTATCATAGCTTCTAGACATCCGAATGCCTCAAGCCAGGATTGAAACCCAACCGATTTGGTGTTAGAGTTTCTAGCACTGGACTATCTTAATTGGACAGAGTGAAACAGCAAAATCTAGCGTATTGTTTTTACGCATGTAAATAAATGTCAATCAGGACTCTACTCATTTTATTGAAGAGCTTTGCATTAACGCAGGTGGCTGTTGTTTATAGAATTAGCTTGTCATTCAACAGTGGTCAATTGAAATATATTTTCAAGAGCTAAATTATATATATATATGTGTGTGTGTCTGTGTGTGTCTCATTCGCAGACAGTACTGTTTCGTTCCTCAGTGCGACTAGTCATATATAAAAGCGATAACAAATATAGTGACTTAAAGCCAGTCAGTGAAAGAATGGATATTTAAGGCGTGCATTCTTTGCAATAAATTGTTCGATATCGCGAAATAAAAGAAAAATAGAATCACTGCAAATGAAATGTGCCAATTAGCTAATTTGTGACGTTTTCATTTGGAAGAATGGTTCCTTTGTCTTGGAAAAAAAAGAAATAAATATTACGGAAGGAACACAAAAATAAAATGAAAAACTTAAAGAAAGGGATTAAGAAAGAAAGAGATTAAGAAAGAAAGAGATTAAGAAATAAAGGGATTAAGAAAGAAAAGGATTAAGAAAGGAATGTGTCAGAGATGCATTAATAAAGAAAAAATGTAGGAGCGAAGATGAAGTAAAAGAAAATAGAGACACAAATGAAATATGGAAGAAAGAAAATTAAAAAATAAAGTCAACATGTCACAATGGAAAAAGTAAAAAAAAAAAAAAAAAAAGGAAAATTTAATTTGGTCTAATACTTGAAAAAACGTTTGAAAAAGTCGATGGAAGGAAGGAAGGAAGGAAGGAAGGAAGGAAGGAAGGAAGGAAGGAGAAAAAAAGAAAAGAAGGAAGGAAGGGAGGAGAAAAAGGAAGGAAGGAAGGAAGGAAGGAAGGAAGGAGAAGAGAAAAAAAAAGAAGGAAAGAAGAGAGGAGAAAAAAAAAAGGAAGGAAGGAAGGAAGGAAGGAAGGAAGGAGAGAAAAAAGGAAGGAAGGAAGGAAGGAAAAAGGAAGGAAGGAAGAGAGGAGAAAAGGAAGGAAGGAAGGAAGGAAGGAGAAAAAAGGAGGGGAAGGAAGGAAAAGGAAGGAAGGAAGGAGAAAAAAGGAAGGAAGGAAGGAAGGAAGGAAGAAAAAGGAAGGAAGGAAGGAGGAGAAAAAAAAGAAAGGAAAGAAGAGAGAGAAAAAAAGGATGGAAGGAAGGAAGGAGGAGAAAAAAAAAAGGGAAGGAAGGAAGGAAGGAAAGAAGGAAGGAAAAAAAAAAGGAAGGAAGGAAGGAGGAGAAAAAGGAAGGAAGGAAGGAAGGAAGGAAGGAAGGAAGGAAGGAGAAAAAGGAAGGAAGGAAGGAAGGAAGGAGGAAGGAAAAAAGGAAAAAAGGAAGGAAGGAAGGAAAAAAGGAAGGAAGGAAGGAAGGAAGGAAGGAAGGAAGGAAGGAAGGAAGGAAGGAAGGAAGGAAAAGGAAGGAAGGAAGAGAGGAGAAAAAGGAAGGAAGGAAGGAGGAGAAAAAAGGAAGGAAGGAAGGAAGGAAGGAAGGAAGGAAGGAAGGAAGGAAGGAAGGAGGAGAAAAAAAGGAAGGAAG